TTCTTGAGTACTTTTTGATAAATAATTCGTTCTTATTGCGAAATAGGAGCACTATTTATCAATCTGTAATAAAAGACGTGAGGAAATTCTGCCTTTTTTCAAGACAAAAATTTTTGAGGCGAAATACCCAAAAAGAAGCTTTGTAAAAAAATGAATCCGCCTCAACCATATAGAACTTATCTACGAACATTCATGTTAGGAATGTTCAACCATGTATATTCCCAGGATATTCCCGCAATGTTCTGTATATTTTTTGAACATTCTGGGATATTCATGGAATATCAAGTGCTATCTGGGTTTCAACCAATTCCAGGCACGATCTGTCCACGCTTCGCGTGTTGGGGTCGGTGGGGGAACCCATCAATCCAGAAGCCTGGCTGTGGTACCATAAACTAGTGGGACAAGAGCGGTGCTCAATCGTGGACACTTTCTGGCAGACGGAGACCGGAGGACACGTGTTGACCACACTGCCGGGAGCGCATCCCATGAAGCCTGGAGCGGCTGTACGCTTTGCCCCATTCCCTACTAAAGTGCGGGACTAAGTGGTCGTTTTCCAGGGGTTTCCGTTCTTCGGCGTGCAGCCGGTTATCTTGGACGAGAGCGGCAAGGAAATCAAGGGCGAGGGCGAGGGCTACTTGGTGTTCTCCAGACCTTGGCCCGGATTGATGCGCACCCTGTATGGCAATCATGATCGATACGAGCTGACCTATTTCTCCAAATTTCCCGGATATTACTGCACAGGAGATGGTAATTTTCTGCACGAGCGCATCAAGCGGGGGAAATAAAGCGACAAAATCTGCACCAATTACAGGGGCAAAACGCGACGCTGATGGCTACTTATGGGTAACTGGCCGTGTAGACGACATGCTAAACGTCTCAGGGCACCTGATGTCCACCGCAGAAGTAGAAGCTGTGCTAACTGAGCACCATGGTGTGGCTGAGGCGGCTGTTGTCGCCAAACCGCACCCAGTCAAAGGAGAGTGTCTTTACTGTTTCATCACGCTAACCGAGACTGGTAAGTGGCGGCCGCCAGGCCCACCAGCCCAATCATTCAACATCCGCCGGTCTCTTAGGAAAATTTGAGGAAAAACTCCTCAAGGAGCTGAAGACGCACATTCGGGAGCGGATCGGCCCGTTTGCTCAGCCCGATGTGATCCAGAACGCCCCGGCGCTCCCAAAGACAAGGAGCGGCAAAATAATGAGGCGGATATTGAGGAAAATCGCCATTAACGACAGGGATGTTGGTGATATTAGCACACTGGCTGATAGCAGTGTTGTGGATCAACTGTTTGCCAGCCGACCACAGAACGCTTAAATTAATTCTAGCTTAACTCAGGCCAAATGCTTCTGCAAACTTAAACACATGTTTAGTGTTCTCAGTGTTGTCAAAGCCATATTGGCTTGTTGCAGATCCGCCAATCATCGAGCTATCGGAGGGATCAGACACTTAAATTTGACCGTTTTCATATAATTGACTTAAACTGTTTGCATTTTGCACAAGACTGCTGTATAAACAACGTCAGCCTTAAAAACGTAAAAAACATATCATTCCACAAGAATTCCATATTATTTTTGTTTAGGGAATATATGCGAATATAGGAAAATACGCTTAATTGTACACACCTAGTTAAGAACATACTGTTAATGTAATTAAAATAAATGTTATCAGTGATAGTGGGGCTATTTTTACAAAATCAGGTTTCAAATTGACCGGAAATAGAAACCATCCACAGAAGACCTTGACGACCGCACCATAACCTTGAAAGTACCAGCCAATCTATGGTACCAGCATAGATAAAGGCGAGTAGCAAGAAGAGAAAGTGCTGGAACATTCCATCAAGTACAGTACGAACCAAATGGAGACTAATGAGGAGGTGAGTAATAAAACGGCTAGATACAGAGAAAAATTACCTAAAGCAGACTTCCTATGCAGGAGTGATGTGCAGCGTGATCAAGGACGAGATAATAAGACTGAAGTCCAAACTGACTGGGACGCACGAAGAGCTGCAGCAAGAGGGGGGCATGCAGGCCGTGATGAGAGATCTCTTAGAAATGCATGAGCGGCTCGAAAGGTACAACGAGCAGAGACAAGTTGCAGATAACGAGCAGGAGAACCTTCTGCAAACCCACAATTCCACACACCGAAAATTAGGCAAAGGCTTATTCAGGCGGATGGCGATTGGGATTTATCTGGTGTGGGTGATTTTCCTATTCTACGATGACGTGCAGCGGTGGTTCAATTTGAAGCAATCAGCAAAAAAATTGTAGTTTTATTAAAGGAATATAATAAAAATTGAAGCTACACCTTCACAGTTTGAAAATTGGCTAATTATTATCTAGGGTATTTAAAAGCCAACTAGAGCTTTGCAGCTCAATCAGTTCTCTAGATATGAGGCAAATAGGAAGAGCGTTTCTTAAGATCCGCATTTATTTAGATGATCACCTGCCGGCCCTCATACTCGCGGTTAAAATAAATATGTTCACCTAATGGAACCTGTTATCAACTACGTTTTTGAGCGGTTTTTTTTCGTGAAATGCGGCATTTGAAACTTCGCTTTCGCGATTTGAAACTTCCATAAGATAAAGGACCCCACGATGTAACGGACGTCAGTGCGAAAAATTTTACGCATTCCCCAAATCTTTATTTTGGATAAGTTTCGCTTGATTTCTTCAGTATTTCTTGGCTTAATTGCTGTGATTTTTTTTGAATGGCCGATTGCACCGTGGTATTTTAACCAAGGTTTAGGGCTACGCTTGCATGGTTTATCAAGCCTATTGAACTTGCACCGCCAGTTAAACTGTACGAGCGCTAATTTAACTGGAGTTCAACTTTTCCACAAGAATTCCTTGCAAATGTTGTTTAGGGAATATTTTCCAATTCAGAAAAATCCACTTAATTGCACACACCTAAACCTATTGTTAGTGTAATTCAAATAAATGTTATCAGTGATATCCGGGCTATTTTTACATAATCAGGCTTCTAATTAACCAGAAAAACCTTCCACCTTCAACCAGCGGAAGACATTGACGACCGCGGCACAACCTTGAAGATACCAGCAGCAAGAAGAGAAAGTGCTGAAACATTCCATCAACAACAAGCCTGCAAGCTCAGTGCAAAACCCGAACCAAATGGCGACTAATGTTAAGAAGGAGGTGAGTACCCATCAAACGGGTAGATCTAGAAAAACACCTAAAGCAGCCTTCCTATCCAGGAATTATGTGCCACGTCATCAAGGACGAGATAACAAGACTGAAGACCAAACTGGCTAAGACGAACGAACTTCTGCAGCAAGAGGGGGGCACGCAGGCCGTGAAGAGAGAGCTCTTAGAAATGCAAAAGCAGCTCGAAAGGTACAACGAGCAGGTGGAGCATCTGCAAACCCACAATTCCACACCCCGAAAATTAGTCATGGGCTTCAGCCTGGTGATTTTCGTGGCGTGGATGATTTTTGTATTGAACAATAACATGCAAAATATCTCAAATAAATCATAAAAAAACTCCTAGTTTTATTACAAGATTATAATAAAATGCTTATGCCAACAGCTCTTAATGCTGTTTTTTTGCGAAAATGTGGCACTCGATAACTTTTCACTCTTTGAAACTTCCATAAGATAAACCTATATTATGTTTGTACTTGCTTTCTCATAGCTATTTGGACAAGTTTCGGTTAAATCCTGGAGCTTTTGCTGCTTTCTTTTTTTTTAATAATGTTATCCGCTCCGCGCACCAAAATAGGAACTCGCCGATGCACATTCACTACTTTGGAGGAATTTTTGAAACGCTTTTTAATGTACTGATTTTTGCACGTGCAACAAATGTATCTGTTTGTAGCAATAATCTGGATAATTATCGAGAGTTTGAACTCCCCGCTCTATACGGACCACGCCCGCTTCACTTTGGCTTGCATTGGGCAACATGGCAACGCTTAAAATCGACATTGACATGTGATTGACATCGACAAGCATTTGTACACTAACCCTTAAAACGCGGCTTGTTTGGAGTGTTTTTTTTCCAATAAACCCTTTAGAAACCGCACAAACAGGAAAAAAACATGAAGCTAGTTCGGTGAGTACTGGGGCGCAGCCTCAACAACATCCTTCCCAATCAATCCCTCTCAGCGGGTGTAAAACAAGAAAACCGCCTCCATTCTGAACACCTAACCTCAACGACGCTCAATTTTTGCAGGTTTTTAATGAAATTGTCCCATGAAACGGTGACGATGGAGCTGAAAAACGGCACCCAATTGCACGGCACCATCACGGGCGTGGATGTGGCCATGAACACGCACCTGAAAGCGGTGAAGTTGACGCCCAAGAACCGGAACCCCATCAATTTGGACACGCTGACGATAAGGGGCAACAACATCAGGTACTACATCCTGCCGGACAGTTTGCCTTTGGAAACCCTGCTGATCGACGATACGCCAAAGGCGAAGGCCAAGAAGAAGGAGGCGGCCAGGGGCGTAGCAAGAGGCAGGGGTCGCGGTAGGGGCCGCGGAGGCCCAAGGGGCCGCGGAAGAGGCAGAGGCAGGCGATAGTCGAACATAGAGGAATCCCAACGGAACACTAGGTTTAAGCGATTAGTTTCTAAGACTCACAATGAATATCAGGAAATTTTGTAAGTTATCACGAAAGGAATATACGTTTTTTGAGGCCGCTTCGATAGATAAACAACCTTTTGCTTAGACACAATATAGTCTGGCTGTGCCAGAAGATAGTGCCAATTTCAAAGGTAAAACAATGTTCGGTGCCAGAGCCCGAGGTCGGCCCATAAATTAAATTAGCCAAAATTCATTGGCCCTCCCAGCGGTTGTTTTCTCTAAAAATAWMGCTTTGAACTTTTTATTTGCTCTATATCTGTTTTGGATCGGCGAGTTTTTTTTTGGCTGAATTTAGCGGCCGAGATACACTACTTTCGTGATTTATCTGCGACAAAGTTTGCMATTCAATAAGAACACTTRAATAAAATGACACTTGATCTACCAATCAAGCAGTTTGATTCAAATGACGTTTAAAATCCTCTCTAKATCCGTCTTAAGSCTARTTCTCATAAGCRAATTTTCGGRAAAAAWTSCGAATAATSAGSCGATTTCACAGGTGTCGGAAAAAKTTGAAATTCAATAGTTCTCATGTGCGATTATTTCTTGCTGAAAAAAAGCAATAATTTTGACTCATCGTGTTGGTGACAATGACAGCGRTTGGTAACAATGACCGCGATTTTAACCTARAAGCCCACTTTTTTGTTCCCTSGCTCKWCGYTCGCCAAACTCGTCTTTATCCATGTTCACAGAACATACCCCCGGGGAATATTTTGTGTCCATGTTTATCCTATGTGTTTATCTATGGCCCATACGAAATGCATAGACACGAAAACCATACTATCCCCCGAAGCCAAAAMCATAAATTTATTATTATTATTATTATTATAAATTGCAATTATAYAGGGTGGCCATTTTCTGAATCTTTGTATGGGTAACTTCTACATTTTTAAAGATAGAGAATCCGTTAAATGGGCAAACTTGGGCAGAATTCGATTGTCTATTCATTATCGTTTTCAAAATTTAAGTACCTGACTTAACGTACACTGCCTGCATAACTTAGAAAAAAAGTTAAAACTGCCTTTAGAGCAACTTTTTGCGTTGAATCCAATAAACTAGCACTCATTATCATAGTCAACTTGATTTACGAGATAAAAAATAAACTTATGGCTTTTTAAATGCTAATCATAGTTGGCTGTGGGCCTTTTAAAATTCTTATTTTTTTCTAGAGAATCCGTTAAATGAGCAAAATTGGGCAGAATTCGATTGTCTATTCATTACCGTTTTCAAAATTTAAGTACGCGACTTGGTTCCTGAARTATCCTGAAAAGGCAAGAAATCAACACTTTTTAAATTATGATATAATTAAACTGCTTAAATTAGAAAAAAGTTAAAATTGTTGGTATCTTTGGTAGAACTTTTTGCGTTGAATTCAATAAACCTGCACTCGTTGTCATAGTCAACTTGATTTACGAGATAAAAAATAGACTTATGAAAACGGTAATGAATAGGCAATCGAATTCTGCCCAATTTTGCCCATTTAACGGATTCTCTATTTTTAAAAATGTAGAAGTTACCCATACAAAGATTCAGAAAATGGCCACCTTGTATACAAATATTGAGCACATTTAATTTWAAAAAAACGAAGAAAAAGTATTTTCAAGTGCGTARATTTTATTCAATTTTCGAAATTCGACCAAGGKCTTTCGGTAATTCGTAAAACATAGGCTGAGCTTGAAAAAATTGAATAAAATCTAMRCTGAAAGTGTMTACACCGTAAAGTGCATGCTAATCTTGCTCCTGCAGGTATAGGATCTCGGCTTTTACATTTTTTAGTAATATTAGGTCCAACTTGAATTRATAACTTTGRTCAAATATCGAATAATTCTTTCGACATTCTCATGTAATTGAAATGTTTTTCTCGATCTTGAAGGCGCATTTCTTGAATCAAATTATAATAGGCTACTTGTTCCGGTCTTCGTTGAAAAGTGTCTCTAATGTGTTGTGTATTAACATTACGTTGAATTTAAATAACCTATAAAATTCCTCCGATTTTTCGAATAATCGGAAGAAGTTGGAATAATTTCAACTTTTTCCGACACCTGTCAAACATCATGAAATTTTGACATAAATATGAAAATTTGACATAAATACAACGTTGACGGCTAGTTTAAGCGTCAAATGGACAAAAATAGGCGGCACATTCTGTCAAAATCGGCACTAACGTTAAACGTTTGCACTGTTGAAGTGCAAACGCAAACGGAACGCATAATAGATCGAGCAGAAAGGCAACGTTTTGCAAAATATGACATATGAAGTGGCGAGCAAGCGCGCTTCCGTTACCGCAAACATGGCGATTCACACAGCTTAAATATATACGATGTGCGAAAACAATCCGAATAAATAATTTATTGGAAATTTGCGTGGCCTGAGGTGGCGTGATATTAATCGCGGCCCATGTGACGGAACTGTTAAAGACAAAGTGAGTGTATTGCGGTGACCAGTGCCCCTCGGTGTGGCTGATCCATTGCCGTAAATACCGTAATATTTGACATTTAACATTTTTCTCCTCGCTCTTTTATTTACTATTCGACAATTACCGTTTGTCCTTCAATCGGGAGTACCATCAAACTAGCCATATCGCCCCGATATACATTCCCTAACATAGCGAAAACTCACCTATTTCTAGGTTAAGTAAAAATATTGCCCTGCTATCCTTTGCCTTTGACTCTTTTGTTTATGTTGCCTAGTTACCATCTTTTGTTTATAAATAAAACCCAAAGCATAGGCGTCGAGATCTTCAACCGCCGACCCCCAGTGGCTGATTAAACCAACGAATACAGATGGAATCCGCGCCCCAACCACCGATCAAGGTAAGTTTGAGGGTGTTATTTTTATTTTTTTATTTTATCAACTGCCATCGCTTTGGATTTATATCCAAAATCGCCCAAAAGTGAAAAATCCAGAGGCGCTTTTTACATGCAAAAAGCAACGAAACCCCGAAGTTTCGAGGGCGTGAATTCATTGGCCTGCTTGATTAACCCCTGCAAACGGGGTCTGTGGAAAAGGGCCTGCTGCGTCTGGAAATTGTTTATTTTGCGTTTACACCACCGCTATCTCTGGATAAGAGATGGCGGTTGAGAGGCTGCATTGATTTCCAGGTGTATGGCGGGTGGCCTGCAGCTGATCCCCACAGGTGAATGTGGGGAAGAACTGGTCAAAGCGGACAAAAACTAGTTTCCTCTACTACCGGGCGCGACGGACAAAAAACATCAATATAATGTAAAACAGTAAATCATCAACGGAAATGAAAATTTGCTTCCGCACTATTGCTACTTTTCCGTGTTGTTTCTGGGGAAATAAAGCTCCGGACGATAATTCACCGAATGTTCAACTTGCACCTCATTAAAGGGCTGTCACTCCATCCTCCTCCACACAAATTACCGGGATTCCTTGCGAAATATTTCTCCATCGTGCGCGCTTTGAGCACGAACTTCCTAATTGCATTTACTCCGGCCCTTATCAAGGGCTTTTAATTAAATAGGCCGAAACTGAGAGCGCCAACGCCCGGCCGGGGCCTACAAATTAAGCCCCATTTTGCTCCGAAATTCGGGGCCCCCTCTTATTGATTCAGGATATTTAATAATTCTTACTAATTAAACCATTGCCAAACGGCCCAGATTTGCTTCATCGTGTTCAACAAGGGAGAAGAAGTTCCAAATCTATGGGGGCTTGACGCCGTAGGCCCTACTTGTCTCAATGCTTCTCCAGAGATATTCAGTTAATTTTCGCACGTCCATAAAATTTAAGACCCGCCGGGTTATTTCGGGTCGGAAACCAAACAAACTACAAGCGAAAGTTCTGCTTTTTGTTACTGAATACCAAAACAGTGATGACGTTACGATCCGAAATTCGCCTTCTCCTTTGTTGCTGGAACCGGGAATGGGAGAGTGGTATTTTTAGGCTGCTCACTATCGGATTTAGAACGATTATTTGGAGAAGAACCCGAAATGACTCAGATGGAGAGCCTCAGCCTCTTTCCACACGGTTTAAGGCCCGAATAAATGCATGCTAACACAACAGGAAACGGTGTCCTTTGAATGGATTTGCATGAAAAGTGGCGGAATTAAGGCGGTCGAAATCAATTTTTAAAATCTTCTGCGGGGGAAAACGTCGCGATTGGGCCTCGCATGCGAAACACAGCTTAAGCTGAGGCCTGTTTCCGCAAGAAGTTATTTTTAGCAAATTAAATTTTAAGTGATGTTTTGCATATCGAATGTGAACCGCGGGGAAAACCCATCTAAGAAATCGCACCATAACTACCTATAATCGTTGCAACAAGCTCTAGCATAAATTGACTAATCCCAATGGAAAAAGTATGGATGGTTTTTTGTCCGCAGTTCCATTAGCGGTTGTTTTCATTGAAAACCGTCAGCCCTGGCAAACATTGTTATAAATAATAGGCAAAGAAGAGGTGATGGCTTTGCCGATGGAGGAAAAACGGAAACACCTCTCGCGTATCTGACGTCTAGTCGCTTCCATCCCTTAACTAAAGGGGGCAATTGTTCGCTCGAGAGATGCGGATCCCTTTTTGTGTGTGTCACATCCCGTTGTCGGGTGATCTCTTTTGAGCGGGGGTGGTAAAAATGGCGCCTATATTTTTTCTTTCATTAGGAACAAACCACCGGCTTCTTCAATTAAAATGTTGGAACGTAGAATGCGGCCAGAAATTTATAAAATCACAACAACAACAACAACGTCTAGTAAAATCTCTTGTATCAATGGTGGGTCGGTTTGCCAATACGCGATTGTTTTACCAACCCTTTGGATTGTTCCAGGCCCCCTTTCATCCAGTCCCCTAACTCTGTTTGCCGGCCGATCCTTGTTTTGCTTTTCGCGTTACCCGTGCACGATTACCTTTTGTATGTTGTCTTTCCATTTCAACATCGCGATACGATTTACCCATTCAGAATGAGCTTATATAATTATTAGTGGATAGGGAGGAAGGGCTTTGCTTGTCCAGTTGGATGGTTTTTTTTATCGCGTTACTTAGCCAATATTCACTGTTTTTTCTTTGCTGCACCATTAACACACGTTCGTTAGTTTAGCTTCGAATTTGAAAAATTCTGGAAAGCGACTGAATCCCGGAATTTTGTTGAAATTTTCAGGATTCGTTGCGTATCATGTTTTTAATGCTCGGAGACGATTTCATATTAATATTTTTGTTCGTTGGAAAATTACGATTTTTAGCTTTAGATAGAGCTTTTTATATTTAGCAATAACTTTCCTATGAAATGTCCTTAAAACGCGTTGAAAACTTCATATTGATATATCCATTCGCTGAAAAGTTACGATTTTTTAGAAGTCACTGCACGATTAGCAAACCCGCTCTTCGTTTAGCAACAACTTTGGAAATTTCTGGAAATGAACTAAAGCTTAGGATTTGGCTGAGACTTTCAGTACTCGCTGAAAAACGTGTCCTTAAAACTCGTAGAAGATTTCATATTGACCCCTTCAATTGTTGGAAAGATACGATTATTTAAAGAACACTGAGTAAACCGTTTTTTTTCCAGCACCAACTTCAAAAATGTCTGGAAATTGACTCAAGCCCTGGATTGGGCTGAAACTTTCAGAATTCCCTGGGGTATTTACCCTTAATGCTCGTAGAAGATTTCATATTGATACTTTAGTTCGTTGCAAAGTAGCGATTTTTTTAGGGGACACTGCGTGATTAGCGAAACCGCCCTTCTTGATGGGACAACTTAAAAAAACCCTGGAAAGGGACTGAAGCCCTGGATTTGGCTGAACCTTTCAAAACTTCCTGCAAAATGTCCCCTTAAAACGCGTTGAAAGTTTCATATTGATACCTTCATTCGTTGAAAAGTTAAAATTGTTTTGAAAACAGTGCACGATCAGCAAACCCGCCCTTCGTTTAGCAACAACTTTGGAAATTTCTGGAAATGAACTAAAGCTTAGGATTTGGCTGAAACTTTCAGTACTCGCTGAAAAACGTGTCCTTAAAACTCGTAAAAGATTTCATATTGACCCCTTCAATTGTTGGAAAGATACGATTATTTAAAGAACACTGAGTAAACCGTTTTTTTTCCAGCACCAACTTTAAAAATGTCTGGAAATTGACTCAAGCCCTGGATTGGGCTGAAACTATCAGAATTTCCTGGGGCATTTACCCTTAATGCTCGTAGAAGATTTCATATTGATACTTTAGTTCGTTGCAAAGTAGCGATTTTTTTAGGGGACACTGCGTGATTAGCAAAACCGCCCTTCTTGATGGGACAACTTAAAAAAACTCTGGAAAGGGACTGAAGCCCTGGATTTGGCTGAAACTTTCCAAACTTCCGGCGAAATGTCCCCTTAAAACGCGTTGAAAATTTCATATTGATACCTTCCTTCGTTGAAAAGTTAMAATTKTTTTGAAAACACTGCWYGAWCAGCAAACCCGCCCTTCGTTTAGCAACAACTTTGAAAATTTCTGGAAATGAACCGAAGTCCTGGATTTGGCTGAGAAAAAARACTGAAAAAAAATTGACCTTAAAATTCGTAGAAGATTTGATATTGACACCTTCATTCGTTGAAAAGTTACGATTTTTCCAAAGACACTGAACCGGGTTTTTTACTTAAAATCTTGAACATTTTTTTTAAACTTCTTGGCCAGTCCTCACCATCGAGTGGCGCTTCACTCTTTTCTCGTTCAATGAGAAAATCACATTAAGACGCAACAAATTGGCCCTCAATGCCATAATCAATTCCCATCCAGTTCCATCCCAAGACTGTTCCGGTTTTCCGGCGATGGAAATTAGATTTTAAGGGCATTAAAAGGCGTAATTAGGGGCGCCATGTTCAAGCAACTTCAAGCCGCTCGCTTTGTTTTCATTCTTAAATGGGCTTTTAACCCGCGATATTTTCATTTCGAACCAACTGAGGAGGAGGTGACTGGGGGGTTTGCAACATTGTAGGCTCTACAATCAGCCGGTAAAAGGGATGATTTAACGAGGTGTCCGATCCGTTCTTCGATCGTAACCTTTGGCAGTAAAAAGACAACTCGTTTATCTTTATAGGTCGCAGGAAGATGCATCGCGTCGGGTGTGGCGCCTCTAAACGACAACGCGTCCGACTTGAGTTTTAAAAATCCATTTAAACTATAAACACATTTAATGGAGCTGTAAAAAACGTCCCACTAAGTCACGGTTTACAGAGTTTTCAGAAACTCACTATGTCTCAGGCAAAATTGAAGGAAACCTTTCTCTTCAATTTCCGATTGATTGTTCCACTGGATATTTTCGTCGTATTGCCAATTTTCATTTATTACGTTTCCCTGACGGTTTACAGCGCCTGATTTATGTTTGTCGTGTCTTTGTTTGCGACCGAATCTTTCTGTTGTTGAGCCGCACAATCGAACCTCCGGACGAATCGGTTGGTATTTGCCCAAGCATTGTTCCACAACAAAGTTGCTGAGTCAAACGCGTCCATTCAGTTTCGGACGTCTCCCCAATTGAAAATTCCTCAAAATAAGCCGCATTTCCCTCACACATTAACGAAATGAAACTTTTATCATCACCAAGAGAGCGTTTATGGGTTGAGATTTACAACCCTGCGACCATTCGAGTGGCAGCCCACGATCGGCTCGATAAATCAGTTATAAAAGCCGCAAAAAATCGCGAATGACGACAAGTATTGGCTCAAATGTGGCTGTTGTGGCAGTTTTTCAATCGATCGCAACACAAATAATCTCATGTGCTGGCGATTTCATAACGCCGCTCGAAATTATTCCCGCATGGTTGCTGCCTGTAGCTGAGTTTGCACATCAGCGCTTTGCAACTGTATTATAGATGCACTTTATGTGCATATGCCTGCC